GGGGCATTCTGTTGTATGCGTCCAAGCTGGACAGACGATATAGATTCTTACAAACTGAACCACCACACAGCACAAGAACGGTGTTTTATTTTATTTTGCGTCCCTTAACCAGTATTGGGTAAATTATTGGGATCTATTGCAAAGTTCCATATAAAGTGTATAAATTACTGTGTTCGATTTGATATTCAAACACTGTCCAGAGAGACCACATATAATGCTTCATCTTAGGAAAGTAAATCCATTACTGTAGAAAGTAAAGTCTCTATCCGTTTTGTGAGCATGCATGCTTGGGATAAAAACATTAGCATCTATTTTAGAATTTAGATCATTGTCATCTCTCAGCAATTTTTGGTCATGATTGTTTTCACGCTCTTGGTCACTGACAAAAACTTGTAAGTCAGGAAATCTGCAGGTGATAGCCTACAAAGCTTTTGAAATGAATGTTCCATGTTTATCCCATATGCGGAGAAATTGATAAAGCCACATTTCAGGAAGAGATCTAATCATAACAAAACATATTTAACCGCTAATGAAACGTCTACTCGAAAGATTAAATTTTCAGAAAGGAGCTTGCTTCTGGAACAAGAGGACAGTGGCCAGCAGGAGTAATTAAAAAATGGTAAAGAAGGTCGCCCATACTGCAAAATATGATGATGATCAATTTCAGGAATACAAATGTTATCTAGAGAAAAACGCCAGAAATTATCTAAAAAGTCTGAAATGCCAGCCCAAAACATTTGACGAACTTCCAATTAATGTACGGTTCAGAAACTTCGAGGGGATGAGTAGAGATGAAGTTGAAGGCGATCACTTAGCGTTCTCTGAGGTTTGTTCTAACTATTCATCAGGTTTTTAGAGAAATACGCCTGATAAAAAGCAACAGTTATTAAATCTAGGCTTTCACTCGTTAGTGGAGCCGTGGAATCTCTGTACGTCCAAAAGAGGGTCCGACAGTATTTTTGTTTGAACAGTATAAGAGCGTCCACCAATTTATGAAGGTAGAATTAAATAAAATATAATTAGTTATTCCTGTTATTTGTGCTCTTACAGATAGCAAATGGAAAAACCAAAGGAGTTGGTTGTGCTG